CAGTGACTTCGGGAACAAATTGAGTAATCTGATTGACTTCAGTGGACAACAACAGTTATTAATTGGCTTTCGAATTTTGATTTTACTCGGGTTCACCAATTTGGTCAGTACATCTGATTGGGATTTGATGCTAAGGCAAGTTCGTTCACAATAATCACTTTGAGAAGGTAAAAAATCAGGGGAAGTAGATTGCGATACCTGTAATCAGAGCTGAGATATTTACTATTGAACGGATTGCTCTGACTAGCGGAGGAGATAGCCGAGGAAATCAGAGTTACAGAATCTGGTTGGCCCAACTGTTCAAGACCTGAGACATTCCGGAAAACAAAAGACGAATGGTGACCAGGTATCCAAAGTGTGAGATCGGTCTGTTACAGCATGCTAGTGAAATGAAAACGAAAATTCCAGTTCCTCTATGAACAAGTAACTATGCGAGAGATATAGATTTTGGATGTCTTGAGGATACATAGCACTTGCTAAGCACTTTGAGTAGCAGAATACACCAAGATATATAGCGTCGTAAGAAGGGAAACGTTTTCAGTTTATGCTTTATTTACATGACGAATTTCCAAGCATAACATAAGACACCCAGAAAACCCTTTTAATTATCCATAGTTTGGTTCTTTCCATTGAAGACAATTAGAAGTGATTTATTGTCCAAACAGGGTTAGGCATTCTATGATTAGATATACTCCGTTTGGAAAAGCAGTTGTCCAAAAATTGAGATGATAAATTGCTGATGTGATTAGGTCGAGCCATTCACGATTACTCTGTGCGATGACGACGCCGGTAGCATATGTTTCTGGTTCGTTAGGCGGAGTAAGGAAATGGGAAAAACTCCTTTTTCCTTTGCAAGCTTAAACTGATCAAATGTATGAATTGTCCCCCATTTATCAGAGGATTTATTTCCATTGAAGTAGTTTTCTAACAAATTCTGAATACGGAAAATCCAGATGGATCATCCATTTTTCTTTTCAAAAGAAGACAAACCACAACCAATTTTGTAAACATGATCCACAAAATTCGATAAGTACCGAAATTCTCAATCTAGAAGGCACGGTGTATGCTCCCCAAAATTCAACTCATAAATTAAACTCCAATGGCATAGCTTGTCATATGGACTCAAAAAATGAGACTTGTGCATTTGTGTCACTTACATGAATCACAAAAGATTAATTCGTTTTGAAACTATAATAACATACTCAAAATAGACGCACGATACGTGTTAGGCATGGCTAGTCTCGATGCCATAGGGGCTGTGAGAAGCACAGTATGAATTTAATATCAAAGAAGAACCTCTGAGCGATTGGATCGGCCATTCATAAAATTGCCATTTATGGGCTCCCTTCCGTAAGCAGCGCCCCGTCTCATAATCCTTACACAGCAAACAAACAAGGATTAAATTTCACTCAACATTATTTATCAGCGCACAATTTATAGACAGAAATAATTCTTGTCAAGAGCATTCTACACAAGTAAAACATTCTTTTAAACACAAAGGCTTTTTGGCAGAAGTAACTGTAAACATCCCTGTATGAGAAATTGGATAGGAATTTACCATCACCAGGAAAACATTATCACTGCCCCATACTCGGATGGATGGCCAGATTAGTTTAAGTCCTCCCACAACATGCATTGTTGCACCGATCCATACCCGCGCGGATCCTATGAGTCTGCTGATTGCTCGATAAACAATTACTGGCGTGAGACTTTAAACCATCAGTGGTGGATGTGTCGTGAACACCATGAAGTAATTCTTTGCAGCTTTACAAAGCATTGTTCGATACATGCCCAGGCCCTGTCACAAAAATTGACATTTAAACCTTGCTTTGTAAAGTGAGAGGAGGAGCAGATGACCTGAAACAATTTCCAGAATTCACAGAGTGAACGATCGCAGGGAGCAGCACGGATGACGATCCAGCTTTGTTTTCTGCAGTATAGCTTCACCGTTTGTGGGAGCAACTATCAATACTGGCTCACGACGCAATTGACTTTTCAAAATCATACATTTGTCTATGAAGGATCATCAAGAGATCTCAGATCGCACGTGCTCTCGAATAGCAGCCGAAAACCCCTTCTCTATACTCAGAGGCAGTCCATGAAGAACATGAAGAACAATCTCATTCGATCGTAAGACAACCCGCCAGCAGCAAGTTAGTGTGATCGATTTAATTTTCTGTAGAAACTCAGAAACGGATGATGTTCCCTTTCTTAGCTATAAATAAGACTCTCTCAAGCTCATGATGCTGCTTAGATAGGTTGTTACTAGGTTTTCTGCAAAGTAACCCCCTCCTGTAGAGTTTATTCACCTAACAACATTAAGAAAACAACATCAGGGGAAAGGAAGAAGTATAGCACTTCGAGTAGCTATTTTGGCGAAACAGATAAAGAATTGTTGCCACCGCAGACGATGGGTTCTCAAAACAAATTTGAGAAAATCATAGCCAACCATAAAAGAAACCACTAGTATGCCACGATTGTAGTTTGTGCAGTCACGCATTTAAGAGGGCCTTGAGCGAGGCCATTAATGGAAACTAATGTTATTCAGAAGGTTTAGGTTGCATGCGGTCATTCTTGGAACAACGGAAGGAGTGGTCTGAATGGTTCTTCCTGTGTATTAGTCATTGAACACATTCACAGAGGAGGATCGAAAAAAAAATCTATTTTAGTTAAGCTCTATACCATCATAAGTTGGAGTGTGTGTTAAATACATGTATTCAGACTCATCTAATCCTTGAAACAAGGAACTTGTATACATCTAAATACAACAGAATAGGCTTGAATAGGTCTACGTTGTTATCTTATCTAATATATTCTTCCTTTTCCTTTTTTAAAAATTGGCATTTTAAAGAAATTAGGAACTTGTTAAAGTTACTTTAATTTGATTATTCTTGCCTTTAACATTGATTAAATCTCAAAATCATATTCCCATAATTATTTTAATAGGAAAAAAAAAACATTTCCTTTTTATATTTAGGTAATTGTTCATTTAGTTTAATTTAAAAATATTAATTTATAAATTTTTTTTAGAATTACATGATTTATTCAATAAAAATTAACTATTTTAATAATTATTAATTGTTTTAATAGTATTTGTTCCTTGACTCAGCAGTATAAAATAAGCAAAATAAATATTACATTAAGCAAGAATGACAGAAATTTAGGAAAAGAAGTAAAAAGGAAACAACTTGGATGATGAAACTTGTTAATTGTATGGTGAGTCCCAGTCCAGCTTGTAATTAATGAAAAGCCAAAGCGACAATTACTAAAAAAACCTCGTCTGTAATCTAATCTCACTGTGATTTTACCAAATTGGACCCTACCATCTCACGACCACGTGTGGAGCACCAAACTTAGGCTAAAGACTCAGAATACGTGTGCTGTTTAGAATTAGATGTCACATTAATATCACAGAATAGAAACTTGACCTCAAAGTTAGAAATTTTACAGATTCTCCAAATTTGGTCTCCCGTAAGCATCTCCTCCTCCTCCTCTTTCTTCTTCTTGGTAGATTGTACCTTTCTCCTCTGTTCTTTCTATCTCTCTCACTTCTTTTTATTTTCTCACTCCCTGACTGCAGATTTCACACTTTCTCTTTCTTTCTGATTCTTAATTTTCATTACAGTTTCTTCTGCAATGTCTGAGAGAGTCTTTCCTTCTTCAAAACCCGCTGCCAATGGCACTGCTGCCAATGGCACAACCGCCCCCGCTACAAATCCAACACCTACTGCTAACAAATCTCATCTCTATAACCCCACTGCTCGCCCTCCTTACCGTCCACAGCCTCACAACCGCCGCCGCCGTTCTCGTAGTGGCCGGAGCATTTGCTGCTGCTGCTGCTTCTGGAGTCTTCTTATTCTCCTCTTGTTAATTCTTATCGCTGCAATTGCCGGAGCTGCTCTTTATATTCTCTACCGCCCTCACCGACCGGAGTTCTCTATCCCTTCTCTCCGCATCCATCGACTTAATCTTACTACCTCCGCCGATTCCTCCTCCTCTCACCTCTCTAGCCTCGTTAACCTCACTGTTATATCCAAAAATCCCAACTCACATCTCACTTTCTTCTATGATTCTTTCACTTTATCGTCATTTTCGAATGATGTGTTTCTCGGGAACGGGACGTTACCTGCTTATAGCTTGAACAAGAAGAACGAGACTAGTTTTAGAAACGTTGTCGTTTCAGGCTCGAATGATTTGGACGCGGAGTCAGTTAATACATTGAGATCGGATCTGAAGAAGAAGAGCGGAGTGACGCTGAAGATTGAACTGGATACTAAAGTGAAAGTGAAGATGGGCGGGCTAAAGACGAAGAAGGTAGGGATTAGAGTTACATGCGACGGAATTAAAGGAGTAGTACCGAAAGGTAAGTCGCCGACGGTGGCCGTGACGACTGGTTCAAAGTGCAAAGTTGATCTAAGAATCAAGATCTGGAAATGGACTTTCTGATTTGCTTAACAGTAATCAGTGTTTGTTTTTTCTTTTTTAACTATTGTTTTTAAATAATTTTTTCCATTTTTTGGGGTTTGTAAACTTTTGGAGGAGTATGAAGGGGGCAATTATGGATTGGGGAAAGGGAAATTGAGATTGTTATTTAGATTAAGTGAAGAATGAAAAACAAAACGGAAGTGTTGAAATCAAGAAATTTTTATATTTACTTCATATAGTTTGCTTTTACTCATCAATTATTTGGATCACCGACATGGTAATTATTTTTTCTTTTTACCTTTTGCTCAGCGATTAATTTCCACGAGGCCCTTATCTTTATGCTATTATTTTATTGTTTCTTTTTTATTTTGTTTCAATCCCTATGTCTTTCACGTTCTGATGGCATTTTAACATATATGTACAGTTTGGTTGGTTGTGATAAATGGTATACATATAAAAATGTGGGTGGCCTCACGATGTTGAGTGGTTAAGACTTCGAAAGGATTTGATGTTTGGGTTGGTTGCAATTTTTGTTTAATGCAAAAATAAATGTGATGAATTAAGATCTGAAAGACAGAAGAGTGAGTAGACCGGAGAGGGGAGGCATGATGAAATGGAAAATGGCAAGTTGATGGAATAGAGGGAGGGCATGAGTAGGAACTTTTGGCATAAAGAGAAGTGTGGTCACTTGATTAATATGAAAATGAAAATCATAAGGGTCCACACCATTTAAAAACTCTCTCTTTCTTTTAATCATTTGCGTGCATGCAATAACTCTTTGCCCGGAGAAACCAGATATCTTCATCGCTCTTGACTTGCCGCCATTCTTCAATACAAGAATTTTGGTAACACTTATTACACCTTTCACCTAATTTTGGAAATCAATCAGATAGATCCTCCTATCTAACCCAATCCTAGTCCAGGTATTCTTCACATTTTATTTTATTTGGGGGATCCAAGCTGGGTTGTCTTGGGCTTTGAACTCGGCCCACCTGCAACATGTGCTGCTGTGGTCTGCATTCCATGATTATGGGGTAAAATTGGAACGCACGTGGTTTTGTTTTGGGCATAGTCACGTCTGGTCTGGTTTACAAATTGTAGGGGCGCTTGGAATTTTGTCAGTGATTGCAACTTCCTTTTCACACTGGACTGTACTGTACTTCACTAGTAGTGACTACTCAGGAGTCAGGAGAGCTCTGATTCGGAGTGCTCACTCCTAGACTAAGCTCGTCGATTGCTGATTCGTATCTATTTTTGTAAAGATGGTCGCCTGGGCTAGGCTTTCTTGGAGTTCTAAGCCTCAACGTGTTCATCTTAATGGGCCTGCTCAACTTATGAGGAAAGCAAATGATAGAAAAATTAAAAATTAAACGGACAGACAGCAATTGATAAAGACTTGTAATATATCTGATTGGAATGGTTGTCTCCTTCCTTATAATCTGGTTTCAAGTTTCACCCATTTCCTACTGAACAACTGGACTCCACCCACGTCCCTTTCTCCGCAATTACATTCATACTTCTTTTTCCTTCCTTTTCAACGATAAGTTGGTATCACAGTCCAATTAATCTTAAATAAAGAGTGTAATGTTGAAATATAAAAATCGGAGAGTTTAATAGAAATACGAGTTTAAACAAACGCGTGTTTGTTGTCTATTCTTATAATTTCACATTGTTGGCACAGATCAGTTAAATGCAGTTACCTAATACGATCATCGAACTTGCCGTGTTTGGTTTTAATGCAACGCGTACCCCCACGCTCCTGGCCACGGATTAGGTAAACTCTTACTCCAAACAATTACTGCTCTTTCAACGGCTAGTTAAAGCCAACCAAAGCACGCTATTTTCCAGCCTTTCTTTTCTTTTCTTTCCCGAGAAAGCGAGGAGGAAAATGTCGACAGAACATGTTTCTTCCTTCTTTTTCTTCTTCTTCTTAGTCTTTTTCTTCTTGTTTTCTGGGTGTTCTTCTTCTCCTTCTTTATCAAATCCTGACTTCGAGGCTTTACAGTCTTTTAAAGAATCATTATTGGAACCATCTCAGGCGCTTTCCTCTTGGGTTAACTCGAGTAGTCCCTGCTCGGGTTCTTGGTTTGGCGTCACTTGCAATCCCAAAAACCACCGAGTTACCCGACTCGTTCTTGAGAATCTTAACCTCACCGGTTCCATTAACTCTCTAGCTCGGCTCTCTCAACTCAGACTCCTAAGTCTCAAGCAAAATTATCTCTCTTGTTCTTCTAACTTCAATGTCTCTTCATGGCGAAACCTCAAACACCTTTATCTCTCTTACAATCGACTCTCTGGAACATTCCCTTCCGGCGTATCCCGTCTCCGGCGACTCCACCGGCTTGACATCTCTCATAATTTTTTCTCCGGTGATATTCCGATGGAAGACCTGGCTACGTTGCCGCGCTTGCTGACACTACGACTGGAGGATAACTACTTCACTGGAACCATAAACTTTGTTAATCCGTTATCGTCTTCCATTTTAGAATTTAATGTATCGGATAACAACCTCTCCGGCAAAATTCCAACATGGCTATCGAAATTTCCTGCTAGTTCTTTCTCCGGGAACAATCATCTCTGTGGTGAGCCATTGAAGCGCGAATGCTCCAATCAGACAGTGCAAAGTCAGCCGGTAGAATCAAAAACCAGTATAAATGAGAAGAAAGCGAGTAACTGGTTGGTGATGTTGATCGTCGGAATAGACGCGTTGGCGATTTTAGCCGTGGCGACGACGATAACATTCTGTTGTTATTGTAGAAGGCGAAAGAGTAATAGTGGGTCCCACGGAGAAGTTGTAAAGAGGAAAAGTGGGTCCCACCCTCAAATCGGAGCGTATTATCACGGTGGTGCTGGTGGTGGGCTGAGGGAAGGAGAAGAGATGGTTGTGTTTGAAGGGTGTAAGGGTTTTAATGACGTGGATGATCTGTTAAAATCCTCTGCTGAGTTGTTAGGGAAAGGTTCAGTGGGGACCACTTACAAGGTGGAAATGACCGGTGGTGACGTGGTGGTGGTGAAGAGAGTAAGAGAAAGGAGGCGGAGGAGGGACGTCCATGGGTGGCTGAGATTAATCGGTGGTTTAAGGCATAGTAACATAGTTAGCCTCAGAGCTTACTATAATTCCAAAGATGAGTTGCTTTTGGTCTACGATTTTCTGCCAAATGGAAGCCTACACTCTCTCTTACATGGTAAATTTAATTCATTTCCAATCTTTTTTTTTTTTTTTTAATTAGAGATTAATTTACATTGTTAATTTCATAATTATCGATTTAATCACTTATATATTACAGGGAATAGAGGGCCAGGGAGGACTCCATTAGAGTGGAGAACAAGGCTAAAGCTAGCTTCAGGTGCTGCACAAGGACTTTCTTTCTTCCATGGATACAACAAGGCCAAGCTTTTCCATGGGAATCTCACATCTTCAAATATTTTAGTTGATCAGTCGGGCAATTCTTGCATTTCAGATATTGGCCTACACCAACTCTTGCACTCACCAACGTCCTCCAATACTGCCTATAAACCCCCTGAACTAATAACCCCCACCGGAAAATATACTCAAAAATGCGACGTGTATAGCTTTGGAGTGATCTTGCTAGAGATATTGACGGGTAAAATGCCGAATGGGGAAGGTGAAACAAGCTTAGTGAGATGGGTTCAAAGAGTTAAAAGAGAAGAGTGGATATGGGAAGTTTTTGATTTCGAGCTATTAAGGAGCAAGGAAATGGAGGAAGAGATGGTGGCTCTTATGCAAGTAGCTCTACTTTGTTTAGCTTCATCGCCTAGAGATCGTCCAAAGATGAATATGGTGCATAGAATGATTGAAGATATTAGAACAAAAAATGCAAGTGATGAAGGTGGTGATAGTGGTTCTTCAAATTCTATTATGAATGATATTTCTTCTGATTCTTCTCCATCCCCATCAGAAAATACCAATTTATTTTATTACCAGGAGTTGATTATTAATTGATTTAGTGAATTAAACATAAGATTGTTTTGGTAATTAATCTTGTACTTATAGACATAATGATAGTATTAATGAAAATTCTTGCAATATTCTAGTTTGTTTAATTAATGCATGCTATTAGAATACGTGTCATTTCATTTTTGGAATAAATTTCAGGCAGGTCAGTTTTTCAAGAGGAAGAAAACCAGGTGTCATTGTACCATCCAGCAACTGAAAATCTAACGTAATATAATTAATTATTATTATGTCCACAAAGAAAGAAAAAAACAAAGGAAAAAGAGAAAAATCTAAATCTAATGTACTACGTACAATGGGAAGTCAGCTATATGTGTTTATTTGCTCGGTGGTGATGAGACAAACATTTAAAAAATAAAAAAAAAATAATAACTAAATACATATTTATGTCTTATAAGTGTTGTTTCCCGCCATTGATTTCCTAAAATATGGATATGGATTAGGTATAGTATTTGCAGGGGGATATGAATCATCACCCATGAGCTGTGGACAAAACCAGAAGCTGACATGAGGAGACCTTAGAGCCAATTGAATTTTGACTCTGATTTGCAAACAAGCTAAAATGGAGGCCACACAATCACATGGTTTTTTTTTTCTTCTAAGTAATTAGGTGGTCCAAATTGCTGGCATTGGAGTCCAAGTGCCCTTCAGTTCAGGGGTTTGTCCATTAAAATCTTTCACATGGTTAGCATTTGTTTGGCAGCTCCTCTGCTTCGTACGAGCAAATAGTTCTATCACCAATCTTCAACCATTCAATGCAACCTAATTTAGCTCCAATGGTTTTTCAAAATTCTCCATCACCATGGCTTGTACCTTAACAGACCTTGAGCAAAGATAAATTCTATATAACACCTATCTCATTTCATTCATTTTTAGAGACAAAAAAAAAAAAAAAGACTGAATTGCAACCTAATAATTTAGCTCCAATGGTTTTCAAAAAAATTCTTTCCAATCAACCATGGCTGTACCTTAACAGACCTTGAGCAAAGATAAAATTCTTAATATAACACCTAATCTGCATTTTCAATATTCACTTTTTAGAGAACAAAAAAAAAAAAAAAAAAGACTGTACATACAACTATTTATACTAATTGCAAAAAAAAAAAAAAAAAGACTGTACAACACTATTATACTAAGTTGCAGACAGAATTTCCCCAGTATAATAGTGTTATACCGTATATAACCATTTCTATTTTCTAGGTCTACACAGTAAACAACATCATTACAAAGCTTAAATCAATATTTTTACCATTTGTTCTCGTAGATTGCACTTCAGAAGCGTTCTGTATGTTGTGCTCTTGTTGGTCATCTTGGATCGGTTTGTCATTTCCTTTAGGCTCCACCATTTTTTCACTGGAAAGAAGACTACAAATTAGCATTGCCAATGAAAGTTTCCAAAACCCAGTAGTCTCCTAATTATATATTCATTATACATGCGAGAATACTTCTAATCTGAATTAGTCAGGTCAAGGTTAATTCTTGATATAGCTGTTTTCATTTTTCTAACCTTTATTCAGTATAACAAGGAAATTTAAAAATAAAATTGAACTGTTTGACAAAATGCCAAATAATTTGTTGACTTTTACCTAAAATAGTATAGTGTATAATTAATTCAAAAAAAAAAAAAAAATTCAAATTAGTAACATTAACTACCCCATTCATCTTATAACAATAGGTTTGTTTTTTATTTTGCCAAATTATAGTCATGTTTTTCCCTTTTGAGAGAGAATATAGTTTTTACAATTTTTTATTTCATTCCTATTTAATATGTATCTTATATACCCCTTCCGTTGTTTGGGCCATTTGACAAAATATGCAGATTGAAGAATTTAGTCAATAAAAAATTATTTTGCCATTTTTTTTAAACCTTACAAGCAAACAAAATCAGAGTTATTCATGTTAGTCATATTAATGATTTCTAAATTATTTTCTTAATTCTTGTATTTTTGGCAAAATGTACACTTTTTACGTAAGCAAGGAAGTATGAGCTAAGAACTAAGAACATTGTTAAACTCATTTGTAATCGTAAGAATTTAAAAAAAAAAAAAAAAAAACGTAAGAAATTTAAAAAAAAAAAACAAAAACACTATAAGGCTTTTTGGAATGAAAAATTAAAAAAAAAAAAAAAAAAACACTATAAGCTTTTGGATGAAAAAAATATTAATTTAAATTGTGAGTCCAATTATTTTTTAGCAACAAATGAATATATCTGTAACGTTTAGGCTAAATTTCTCGAAGGAATTTCTAGTGCAATGTTATTACTGCTCACCATTCCAAACATAAATATCACAAAATGTATTAGGGAAGTTACTTTTACAATAATTGTTAACAATAAATTTGCTTAATTAGGCTTTAATCATTTTCTAACAAATAGGTAATAAAATAATTGAAAACAATAATCACTAACAAAAAGAAAACGAACCTGCGGTTAATAGTTACTTCCTTGGATGAGTCCAAAAAGACTGTATTATCCCTTTCGTCAAAGCCATGAACAAATGGCTTAACGTCTTCACTTACATCCACCGCAAACGGTTGCGCTTTAGCATCCACCGATAAATGTCCACTCAAATCAAACGATGATAATACTTCCGATTCAATCTTTGTATCAGTATCACTAGCATCATACACGTCAGAGTCGTGCATAGACTGAACTGCGAGCGCCGGGTCATAAACATTCAACGGTGGCGGAGTAGGGGGTGGAGGATTTGACAGCTGCTGGTGAAATGCAATTTGCTGCTTAACGAGATTGAGTTCCTGTTGAAGATAGAGAATTTGAGTTTTCAAATTGGAAATGATACGATAACAGCCGCCAACAGGATCACTAGCGCGAGCATTGGAGTGAAAAATGATAGACCTGGCGGCGGCTTTTCTGATTTCGAAAGAATTGAGATCTTTTAGGGTTTTCAAAATGTTTTTGACACCAAAGAGTTTATGTGCGTTTAGAAAATCTTGTTGGCGATTAGAAGGGAAATGAGGAGCGAGAAGGCAATCAGGTGTACATTTTCTACGTTGAAATTTACATGCAGCACAAGCTTGAGATACGGCGGTGTTCATGGTAATTAGTTTTTCGGCTCGGTTTTTTCGGCGATCATTTCATAGATTATTTCGGAAATAGCAAATCGGGTTAGAGAAAGAGAGAAAAAACAGGATAAATTGGGTTGTAGAAGAAGGCGGTTATAGGGAGATGAGTTACGTGTTTTTCTACGTGTCTTTTAAATTTAAAAACTAAAAACAGAAAATAATTATTACTCAAAAATTATTAAAAAGAATAATTTTGATTATAATTAATTAAAGGCATTTATGTCAATTTATTGGATAAAAAGTATAAAATATAACCAGATCATCACAATTTTCTTAAATGATAATTAATTATTGGTTTGTATATGTATGGTATGAGCTCATACAGAATATAGGCAAATTTTATTCCAATTTAATTACTTAATATGTTCAAAATGTTGTAAGAGAGAAAAAATATATATATATATGTATGAGATTAAATTATATTTTTTTAATTTTTTTTTCTAATATATCTTTATAATTTTTTCTAAAATAGGAATATGAAAGTTTCAGTTTTGATTAATTATCTATTCCAAGATTTTATTAATATTGATAAATATCCAAATTAAATAGAGAAAAAACCTTTTTAACCAAATGTCACGACCCGATTCCACGGGCCGGACCGGCACTAGGGCCCAGGTAAGCTTAAGGCCCCCGAGGCCCGTAGTAAGCCTGAAACCCTAAAATTTGCTATCTTAATATAACCCGAGGCCCGTAGTAAGCCTGAAAAACCCTAAAATTTTGCTATTTAATATAAAGTTTCAAATATTTAAGCCCATATTAACAAAAAAAATGAGCCTCAAAGATTTTATTTCATCTCATTTCTAAATATAGGGCTCACAGAATCATTTCGGTCTAGCGATATACACGATAAATGTAAGTAAATCTACAAGCTGCGGAGTCACTATACTAAACTGTTTGATATACATAGCCTTTTTTAATACATAACAGTTTACATTACTGAAATTAATTATGGAATTAAAGGAATTTCTTTGAAAGCCTTGCCCGTCGAAGAAAACATAACCTAAATCGACTAAAGAGGAACTTACTTCCTGAAAAAATTAAACAAGACATGTGAGTTTTTCCCTAAAAATGATAAATTATTGGCAGCAACACATACAAGTCACACAGATGTGTTAAACATATAATCTAGTCCAATCCGACAGTTAATACTGCTCACGCAGCCAGTCACACAAAATGGCATCTCACCAGCACTCAACAAACAATATCACGCTTCAATAAATCACATCAACTGTGGAAATTGGTCTGTGGGCGTCACCGAAAACCCCGATGAGCGTCCTCCGGCCCACATGGCCCCATCCTCTCATAACGGTGTGCACCAAGGGAGCCGATCCCCCCATACTGGCCCGACCGGGTCTATAGCCTCACTTGACCAGCCCTCTCATTGTTTTTCCATTCTCGTCTTTTTTTTTTTTTTTATACCAACAAGAGGCAACCCGGTCGTCTCCATCAAATCTAGATCATCAGGCGCTCACAACAGGAGGCCACCCTGGGGGGCTGCGATCAAACCTAGATTATCCGGTGCGCCCAAATAAAGAAGCGAACCTGTGGTTAACAGTAACAGTAACAGTAGGTGCACACGGGGGCGTCGATCTCCCATTTACCCGACTAACAGTAATCAGTATCAGGATCCATATAACAGTAACAGTCTCATAAACCCATGGTGACCCACTTCATCCCAATCCCACACAAACAAGGCACAACAATATCACATTCACAGATAATCAAGCAATATTTAATATCAACAAATAGTGCATCACAATATAGCAATAATGCATGATAACATTTTTCAATTGGACAATCGTAATGCAATGCACAATTAAACATCCCAAAATCAATGCAAATAAATAAATAAATTAATAATAGAATGACAATAAACAACGATAAAAATAAAGAACAATAATAACATAAAATGCAAATAAATAAATAGGAATAAAATAAATAATGAAATGAATAATAAAGATAATAAATAATTAGAGACGCGGATTTATTATGTACCAAATTTAATAGAACTAATCTAAATAAACTTATTTTATGTTTGTTAATTAAAATTAGTTTTAATTTCTGTCAAAAATTTCGGCAAGGCACCTCCCCCTAAAAAATTTGGACTATCCTACCTGGCTCACAATATGCACAATAATCATTATAATCTTTATCAATCAAAAGCAAACGACAGCCGCATCCGTCCCGGGCAAGCATCAATTTATCTCCCTTCCTCCAACTAAGTAACCAAAATAATTATTATTTAACCATCTATACAAAAACCTTAAAAGCTATTATTTAACCATCTATACAAAACCTTAGCTTTACTTAATCCATGATTTCAACATCAATACAAATTAGTTTAGTACTAAAACAAAAATATTCATAGCTTTACTAAGATTAAACAAATAAGTAAATAAATACGCAATTAAATGAAAATGGTTATTTGTTTAATCTCCACATCCTACTACTTTAAACTATCCAATCATATATAACCTTTAATAATCATACAAAGTTATAGATCACATTTCTTTTACCAACATTAACTAGGATCTTATGTAACAACTTAATAATCCAGTGAATCACTCTCCTCACCAAGCAAGATTATAGGAAACGTCCTATTTAAATTATCTATTAAGCATAACCAAATAAGTATACTTTAACTAATCAATTCTTAGCACGAATTGAATTTATAACTCAATACACTATACCCTTTCCTATTCATTAAGCAAAATTTAACCAAAATAACTAAACTAGCTGCTGCCTCAACAGTAAATAAAAATTCATATATATGAACTTAATTAAATCAAAAAACTATAATTTCTCTAATCAAAAGTTGTTGCCATTTATACAATTCTTAGCCTCTAAATGAAAATTACCTCAATAACACCAAATCACCCACTAAATCAGAAAATTCATGAAATTTACTAGAAAAGGTTGAAATTTATTTACCTAGCTACAACGTGCGTCGGAAAATGAATTTTTCCAGTTAAAGTAACCGGCACCAGCAACCAAGCACCAACACCGTCACTGACGCCACTAACTTGACCGGGGATGCACGAGAAAGTGGCTGGAGGCACGTGGAGGTGAGGAAAGGGTGTAGTCCGGCCGGTCCTTGACTGTTTCGCTGGAAAAGTGAAGGGAACGCTGAAGGAGGCAGCGTCGATTGGACAAGCACAACTCACAGCTCCCCTCGTCCGCTAAACAAGACCGAGACAGGATACTCTAGTTACTAATTGATTACAAATGTATGTATATGTATGTAACTGCAATATAAATTAATTGTCTTAGAATCAAATATCATTACTATTAATATTGCATTATAATTGAGTAAATAGAGAAAATATTGCGAAACCGAACTAAATAAACAAAATAAGTCGAACCAGACCCAAAAATCAAATTGATTTTTTGAAAACCAAATGAATAACCTAAAAATCATGTCAAAAACCTGCAAATCGAGTTAAAATCTAGCTAAGTCGTTGAATCAGACCAATCCGGTTCAGATCGAACCGGAATCATCTAGAAATTGGACATACTTTATTTCTTTTCTTTTCTTCTTCTTCCTTTCCTCTCCTGCGTCTACCTCATCTCCCCCTCCTCTCTCCTTCTTCCTTTTCTTCTTCTTCTTGCTTTCTTTTCTCTCTTTTGCGTCTGGGTTCTCGGCAAGACAGAGATAGAGGCGGAGCAGCAGAATCGCACGCCACCGCCACTCCGCCGCCATTCTCCTCGCTCATAGCTCATCGCGCCACCACAGCCCGCTTCTGCCTCGATCGAGCAAGCGTCGGTGCCTCACCCGCGCCGACGACTCTCGTCAACGCCATCCTGCCACCCGGCCTAGCCGCCGCTCAGCATGCCTTCCGACCACCAAGTACAGAAATTCACAAAAAAAAAAAAAATTATATCGGGGTATAAATTAATTTTTAAATACATTTTAGTTTATTAATTTTATTTTATTAATATAGTTAATTAAATTTAGTTAGTTAATTTTAATAATTTTAGTTGAAATCTTAGTTATGTTAATAATATTAGTTATTAATTAACGTTTTATTATTTTGCAGTTCAATTAATTTAGTAAGTATTAAGTTAATGAATTAATTTTATTTATTTGTAGTCAATCTAGTCTTTTAGTTAAGTTTAATGGTTAGTAATGTAGTTTTAAATTAATTTTAATTTGTAGTTAATTAATTTGGTTATTAATTTGGTCCATTGTGAGTTAGTTTAATAGCTTTATAATATTGAGTGTTGATATAATTGGTAGTTTTTTAAAAAATAAATGTTTATTGTAATGTAATAAATTGGGATTGTGTGGTGATGTTTGAGATTGAAGGAGGATGGGAAATTGTTATTGATTAATTGCCCGATGGATTGCCTTGGTTGGCTTTGAAATTATTAGATAAACTGTTGATATTTTAACAGGTGGATAATCCAAATTTTAGGGGAGATGCTGCCGAAAAGTCGGTAGAAAATAAATTGTATTTTAGAAACTAAATTACTTATATCGATTAAGTTATTCATAGAAATTAAAAATATAGAATAAGATTATGAGAGGGATAAATAAACAAAGAAATAAATAAACAAGAGGAACGAATTTATATATAGTTCAGTGAATTAAATACCGACTAAAGTTATTAACGTTAAGAATATTATATGATCAATCATATTATCATTATTAATATTATTATCATTATTAATATTATTATTATTAATCATATTAAATATTTTGATTAGTAGTATCATAAAATATTAATTACCAAATAATTAGACGTTTTACTTAACAAATAAATTAGAAGAAATAAATCAAATAAAGATGCACTATAGATATATAGTTTAGTTTGATAAGTTAGTGAACCGACGAGTAACGAAAACAAATAAATGAAAACAAATAAATGACTGTAAACTGCATTTTCCAAATTAGAATTCTTATGTAGAATTTTCTTATTATATAGATACTTATAAAGTTTCGGACTGTGAAGACAAAGGCTGGGAGCGCAAGGCCGGCAAGCGTCAAATAAGAAAGGTAAGTC